TTAATTTTCGGCTCCGGGTCCTTAATTTTAGGTCCGGTCCTTAATTTTAAGCTCCGGGTCCTTAATTTTAGGTCCGGTCCTTAATTTTAAGCTCCGGGTCCTTAATTTTCGGCTCCGGGTCCTTAATTTTAGGTCCGGTCCTTAATTTTAAGCTCCGAGTCCTTAATTTTCGACTCCGGGTCCTTAATTTTAGGTCATTTTAGGCTCCGTGTCCTTAATTTTAGGCGGTCCTTAATTTTAAACTCCTGGTCCTTAATTTTCGGCTCCGGGTCCTTAATTTTAGGCCCGGTCCTTAATTTTAAACTCCGTGTCCTTAAGTTTCGGCTCCGGGTCCTCAATTTTAGGTTTTAGTTCTTATTTTAAGCTCCGGGCCCTTAATTTTATGCTCTGGGTCCTTAATTTTAGGTCTGGTCCTTAATTTTGAGCTCCGGGTCCTTAATTTTCGGTTCCGGTCCTTAATTTTAAGCTCCGGGTCCTCCAGAAAAGAGGATTTTGCAGCCCCGGTCCTTCATTTTCGACTCCAATCCTTAATTTTAAAGCCTCGTCCTTAATTTGAAGTCTCAATCCTTAATTGTGGCCGACAGGTCCTTAATTTAAGGTTGGAGGATTTCAAGGGTCCCCGACCATTTGCACCAAGGTTTACCGGGGCCCAGAAAGGAGGATTTCAAGGGTGCCCGGCCGGTTTGCACCAAGGTTTAGGGTTATTACTTTATAGGCTGACAGTAGCGGCCTATTCACTGGATCCGCGTGGACCTGAGGTCCAGGACCTACGGCTCGCTTTTCAGCCATCGCCTACGGTCCGGCAGGCGCCTTCCGGTCCGCCTGCTGCGGCCGACCCCATTCGCTGCGGTGGGGGGTCGGCCTTCAGTTTAGGGTTTAGGGTTTAGGGTTTAGGGTTCGCCAGCGCAGTGCTGGCGCCCTAAGCAATTCCGCTTTTGAGCACTTTGAAGCATTTTCCTTTCCTTAGGGGTCGGCGCAAAGTGCAAAAGTGTTCATCGGCGCAAAGTGCAAACCTTTGAAGCAATTCCTCTTTCCTATGGGGTCCGCGCAAAGCGCAAAAGTTCGGCGCAAAGTGCAAAAGTGTTCATTACGTCTTCTCGTTTTGGTGTCTGCGCCAGCAGCTGCATCCCTTTCTTTTAAGGGGGCTGACGCTTAAACCGTAAAACTCGTTGTTTGCTCCGCGATTGCTCTCTGTTGGTTCGGGCTAGACTAAATTTAGTCTTTTTTAATGTTAAGGGTTTGCTGGGGTTTGGTAAAAAAGCCCGTTTCTGACAATCGTGTTTTCCGGCACTTTTGCCGGGTTGGGGATCGAAACCTTTGAACTTTTTCTGGCGCGGCCGGGTCCCCCCTCGCGAAGTTTCAGGGGTGCGAGGTGGGTTGGGGCTCGGAGGCGGAGGGGTCCGAGTGCGAGCATCTCACCCGAAGGCTTTCTCTGCCTTAAGGGGGTCCATGTGGCGCGCTCACAGGCGCCCCGAGCATCTCCCACGAACGCTTGCTCTGCTTTAGGGGGGCTGGTCCTTAGGTCCTAAAGTGTTGCGTCTGCCTCTCGAATGTTTTCTGTTTGTTCGGGTTAAGTTAGGTTTAGAGCACTGTGAGTGTTAAGAGATTGCAGGGTCTTGGTGGTTCTTGTGGTTTCACTGCTTTGAGGGGGCCGTTGCTTAAGCCTTAAAAGTTGTCGTCTGCTCCGCGATTGCTCTCTGTTGGTTCGGGCTAGACTAAATTGAGGCTTTGTTAGTGTTGAGGGATTGCCGGGGTTTGGGGGGGCTTGTGGTTTCACTGCTTTTAGTGGGCCGTTGCATAAGCCTTCAAGCTCGTCGTCTGCCCCGTTGTCTGCTCCGCGATTGCTCTCTGTTGGTTCGGGCTAGACTAGATTGAGGCTTTCTTATTGTTGAGGGATTGCTGGGGTTTGTTGCCCGGGGTCGGGGCACCTTCCCACAGCCAGGGCCGGGGGCCGGGGCACCTTCCCACAGCCAGGGCCCGGGGCCGGGGCACCTTCCCACAGCCAGGGCCCAGGCCGGAGACCCCGGGGCCGGAGGGCCCGGGGCCGGGGCACCTTCCCCCACCGCTTTCCGCAGCCACAAGGCCGGGGCACCTTCCCGGGGCCGGGGCACCTTCCCACAGCCAGGGCCCGGGGAGGGGCACCTTCCCGCAGCCAGGGCCGGGACCAGAACACCTTCCCACAGCTTGGTAGTAGTAGTTGTAGTAGTAGTAGTAGTAGTAGTACTAGTACGGAGGGCTT